CCTGTTTAGTAATAAATAATTTATCTATTCTCTGTTTTGGTTGTGTTTTTGTGTTTAATTAGTATTTGTGCCAAGTAGAACCGTTGGGAAGACGTGGGGAAAGTCTTTTTGTTCTTGCTGTAAAAAACAGAAACTTTAGCGCTCACGAGAATTGCTGCCATTTTTATTTAGATAGTGCTATTTAGTTAATTATTTTTGCAGATGATTAATATATAAATTCCTCACGTCCATCAATGTTTTTTAGAATTTTGGGGGTTCCATAAGTATTCGAAACCTACATATTACTACAGACTGTTCTGTTTTTGACAGATTCTGTTTTTCGTGTGTTGTTTGCTTATTTTTAATAGATAAATTCTTTATTTTGATGAATATATAGTGTTAAACCTAATATATTCCAACTTTTCTATGGTTCATAAACTCTATTACTAGCCATAGATTCATCAAAATAAGCAAACAACACACGAAAAACAGAATCTGTCAAAAAAAGAACAGTCTGTAGTAATCTGTAGGTTTCGAATACTTATGGAACCCCCAAAATTCTAAAAAACATTGATGCACGTGAGGAATTTATCTATTAATCATCTGCAAAAATAATTAACTAAATAGCACTATCCAAATAAAAACGGCAGCAATTCTCGTGAGCGCTAAAGTTTCTGTTTTTTACAGCAAGAACAAAAAGACTTTCCCCACGTCTTCCCAATGGTTCTACTTGGCACAAACACTAATTAAACACAAAAAACACAACCAAAACAAAGGATAGATAAATTATTTATTACTAAACAGGAGCAAAAAACAAGGAATAAAAATAAAGTTGGGTTACCTCCCAACAAGCGCTATTGTTTAACGCCCCTAGCTAGGCATGATGATTTCAATGACGCTCACATAAAAGATAAGAATTGAAACATAAAGAGAGCATCACGAAGAATATGACTAGCACATTTAAGTCTAACCCACTTCCTATGCATAGGTATTTTGTGAGCAAAAAATTTATGAGAACAATAATCAGCTAGCATAGGAAAGCAAAATAAGCATAACTTCAAGATTTTGAGCACATAGAGAGGAAACTTGGTATTATTGCAATTCCTACAAGCACTTATTCCTCACTCATAATAATTTTTAGTAGCATCATGAATGAATTCAACAATATAATTATCACATAAATCATTCTTTTCATGACCCCCAAGCATATAAATTGTATTACTCTCCACATAAGCGAATTTCTTCTCATGAATAATAGTGGGAGCAAACTCAACAAAATAATTACCATATGAGGCATAATCCAATTGAAAACTAAAATCATGATGACAAGTTTGATGGTTATCATTATTCTTAATAGCATACAAGTCATCACAATAATCATCATAGATAGCAACTTTATTCTCATAATCAATTGGAACCTCTTCCGAGATAGTGGAATCATTACTAAATAAAGTCATGACCTCTCCAAATCTACACAGACGAGGAGGCTTATTGGCGCCAACAGGGGACCCAAAAGTGGGTCCTCAAAGGTGATGCCAATACAGCTTACCTCCAGGCCATAGCTAACGGCCGGAGACGCTGGAACACCATCCCTCTCCTTTGGGATGGCGACCGCCTCCTCCAGCGGCCGGTTGGCATTCGCACCCACGTTGATGGCATCTACAAAGTGCTCTTCTCCGCCTCCCCTAGGGGAGGGGCGACCTTGGCCCTGGACATTTGGGCTGATCACTGGCATGTGTCGACGGCCTACAATGAGGCCCTTATGGCTCCATTTTCCGAGGAGGAGGTCTAGATGGTCATCAAGGGCATGAATCCAACATCCGCCATGGGGCCTGATGGCCTCCCGCTGAAGTTCTTCCAAACTTTCCGGGACATCATCAAACCCAAGGTGATGGCGATCTTTGAGGAGTTCTACGTGGGCTCCATTGACCTGCCCGGCTTAACAACGGGATCATCACTCTCATGCCCAAACTGCCGGGGGCCTCAGACATTCGCCAATTCCGCCCAATCACGATGATCAATGTGATCTTCCGCATTTTGGGGGAAGGGGGTACGCCAATAGGATGACCCAGTTTGTAGAACACATCACCCATCCAAATCAGTCGGCCTTCATTAGAGGAAGGTACATTCTCGATGGGGTGTTGGTGTTCCATGAAGTCCTTCATGAGGTACGCCGAGGCAACTGAACGTGGTATTTCTGAAGATTAACTTCCATAAGGCCTACGACACTGTTCACTGGCCCTTCTTGCGGGAGGTCCTCCTCCGTCAGGGCTTAGACGATAGATGGGTTATGCGCGTGATGCATATGGTATCTTGCGGTCGCACTGTGGTTAACATCAACGGGGAAATTGGGCCCTTCTTCCCCACCCTATGTGGGGTCAGACAGGGTGACCCCTTCTCCCCATTCTTGTTTAACATGCTTGCCGAGGCCTTGGCCACCTCCTTGATAGAGCTAGGACCGCGGGCCATATCCACGGTGTGGTGCCCCATCTGGTAGATGGAGGAGGGGTTTCCCTCCCGCAGTATGCCGACGATACCATTATCATGGTAACCGGCTCAGCGGAGGACATCAGCCCCCTCAAATTCCTCCTCCTATGTTTCCAACAAATGTCGGGTCTCGCCATCAACTTTGACAAGGGTGAAGTGATGGTTATGGGCTACTCGCCTGATGATAACCAGAGCATCGCCGATCAGCTTAGTTCATGCATATTTGCAGCGCCACTATGATTACCACAAAAAACCAAAATGCATGCCCCAACTTGCAACTGCCCATGAATTTTTTCTAGCCTCCAGCCGCGTCATCACCCTCCAGCACCACCATCGATTCTGACTGTTCCCACTCCCCAACTGCCACGATGCCGCTAAGATCCATCCCTATTTCAACCTACCTCGAGTTGCATCCCCGCATCGCCCGCAACAGCCGCCGCCCATTACCGTCCAAATTCAGCCTCCCCCATTATCGTCGTCAATGGATTCATTGCCCCCATCCGTGATCTATCGGTTCCAGCTGTGGGGCGGTCGATTCGCTGCCACTCCATTGGGATTCGCTCAACGTCACCTCCAGCTTTGTTTCTTTCAAAATGCCATTGTGCCAGCCGCCGCAGCCTCCGTGCAAAACCATATCGCGGCATTCACGTCTATAGTCTTTCAGGCAATCGGCTAGAGATGCTCTAATGAAAAAATTAACTAAACCCTAAACCCTAAACCCTTAGGAGTACTCTCAATTTACGTGGACTTGTCGATGGCCAAGCCTAGAGTGTGGAAATATACTACTCCTATTTAGTACTCTACTGACCTACTAGGTACCGAAGACCCCTTTTTTTTACATAAGCTAGTCAAGTACTATCGAGGCAGACGTACACCAAATATGGTTTTTCCCTTTGGAGACACGAGCGACTAGAAAGCCTAGCAACCCTCCGCCAATGACCTCTCGGTCATCGATGGTAAGGGGGTCGCTGGATGCCGCGCGTGCAGATCGTTTGGCTTTATGTTTAGGCCCTAGTAGCTTAGGTTTTTGGGTCCTTCATCATCTTGACTTCGGCGATGGCGATGGCGACGCTGAATAAAGAAGCTTCAAATCCTTCCCTGACGAGGCGATTGTCCCATGGTTATAGATGGATTTGGAAATCAGTATGTTCAAGTAAGGATGGTGTGGCGACAACATCCTCGTGGTGGATTTGTGTCCTCAGACTCCGTCGTTGCGAGGAGGTTTGCTCCAACGCCGACGAGAGCTTGGGAGGTAGTCCAGGAGCAGATGCAAATTGTGGTCTGCATCAGTGGCATATTGAAAATAGCGGATCATGTGATGGTTCGTAGTTCGTGCTTCGTGGCTGGTAGGTATGGCTTCCTCCTCTGAGGTCTTAGTCGTGCGGGGTGTTAGATCTGGAGTTCAATGGCGTGTCCGTTGTGTTTCCCCGGTCTGATTCGTTCAACGGCGATAGCTTCGCCTTTGGTGAGGTACCTTGAAGGTCTGCAAAGCTGCATATCAGCGATGCAATCGCGTTGAGCTTGGGTGATGAGGTGATTCGTCATTTTTCTCTTTGGTGGTGCCGGAGGCAGGTGACGGACGTTGGTGTCAAGCTCAAGGAATTTTTCGGTCCTGATTGTAATTTTCTTTCTTGGCTGATGTTTCTTTGTGCAAAGACTAGCGTTTTGCTCTCTTTTCAGTTTTGTCATATCGGTGTATACGTGACTTATAGTATGGTCTTTATGATATACTAAATGAGACATGTATTACCATGAAAAAGAAATAGTCAAGTAGTGCTACCTAAGCAAACCAACCTGTTGTTGGATGGTTAGAGGGTCAGTGGTATCCACATTCTACTAGGGTTCAAGTCTTGTTGCTCGCATCCTCGGCAATGCGCTTTTAGTGGCGGAGATGTTCCCGTCGACGACGAGACGCTCACGGTGACTTCGTAAGATGATATGTCGTCTTAATCTCTTGAAGGTGATCATAAGGATAAGATATGCGTGTGTGCCTTCATAGGGGTGAGTATATAGACATATGTAAGAGCGCTTGCGTCTGTACTGTGTTAAAAAAAAGTAGTAGTACCTAAAATTTGTACGTACTATTTTCTTTTGAGCAGTATAATCCAGCGCGCACCGCGTCCAGCCGGCTCGGTCCAGCGCGTCGCCGGATCTGGCGGCCAGCGGCTAGCGGTCCTCACGCGCTACAGATCCCCCGTCTTCTTTGAAAGGAAGACTTGAGGAAGACTCAAGTCAACTCAACCCAGATCTCGTTGGGTTCATTTATATGCGACTCCGGCTAGCAACGAAACCATTCATCTCAGAATCCTCATCCCCATTTCGTGCTTCTGTTCCCAGCTTCTAGCATAGCTCAAGTGTTCCACCTTCTCCAGGTCAGTGCTTTTCACTAACATGCTTGTTATCTTCAGATGCTCGTAGCAAAACTATGTTTATAGCTTAGTTCAAAGGAAGATTTTGTTCCCCCTTGCTTAGATAAATCCATAACAGCTCACATCCATAACTTCTTATATACAGTACTATATATATCGTCAGAAATGAACACCGAAGGGAACGGGCAGAGTGTTCTAAGCACATTACCCAAGGAACTACCGTTAGACTTCTTGAGGACTATCACAAATCAGTTCTCAGAGGACCGTGTTCTTGGTACAGGTGCATTTGGAACAGTTTATACGGTATGTTCATCCCGTATCATTCTCTACCATTTGCAAAGTTGCAGAAAATGCCAGTAGTTCTTGAAGAGGCTTGCCGAAAATGCTCCCCTCCCACGTGACAAAGCAATTACCAATGAGGTTCAGAATATCATGGCTCTCAAACATGACAACATAGTAAAGCTGGTTGGGTTTTGCCATGAAGGACAGAAGAGAGTGGTACTGAACAATGGGAGGTATATTGTTGCAGATGTTTTTGAAAGCCTACTCTGCTATGAGTATTTACCCAAGGGAAGCCTTCTGAAGAATCATTTTGGTGTGTGACGCTTTCCGATACATTTCTATTTTAGTTTCATCAAATGTTTGCAATGTTATAGCGGATTGCATGAACCTGTTCTATGTTCCTTCAACTGTTAAATCTCAGACACTGAAACAACTTGATCTTTAACTTCTTCAGACAGATCCAATAGCATGGCTTGGGACACACGCTTCAAAATAATCAAGGGGATCTGCAATGGTTTACTTTTCCTTCATAGGATTCCCATTATCCATATGGACCTCAAGCCCGAAAATATATTGTTGGATGACAACATGAACCCAAAAATCGCGGACTTTTGACTTTCCAGGCTCTTTGGCCAAGAACAAACGCGGGCGAACACAGAATGTTGTGGGATCATAGTAAGCCGGTTACAACTGTGATAATATTTTGTAGTAAATTGCATTTTCATCTTCTACTAGTGCTTATATTGAATTATTACTGCTAATTATATGCAGCGGATACATAGCTCCAGAATATTTGTACAGAGGTGAAATCTCCGCCCAGTCGGACATATATAGTTTAGGCCTACTAATCATCGAGACTACCACTGGTGAGAAGAATCAACCCAAACAGAACGAACCGTCAGCAAGAGATTTTATTGAAAATGTAAGAAAAATATTACATGTTAAAATCTGGAAGCTTATGTTGGAGTTTACTTTTATATTATCAAGGATAACAGTTTGAAATTCTTTTACACAGGTACGTCAAAATTGGACAGACGGGCGCATAGCATCCAGATACTCAACGTTAAAAGCAAATGACCTCCAGGAAATAAAAGTATGCATTAAAATTGGTCTAGAGTGTGTGCAGATTGATCGGAAGAAGAGACCTTCCATTGAAAATATTGTTCAGAGGCTCGACGGACGCTGTGCAAACTGAATGGCAAACCAGGTATAAGATTAACTGTGGGCTGGATCAGGGGCTCTGTATTGAAATCACTTAGTTCCATGCAAGTGCACAAGGGGAACTTCTAATCTCTTTCAGTAGTCTGGCCGCTCTGGAAAACCTACCGCTGAAATTGTTAGCTTGCTTCCTATACACTAATGTTTCAAGTGGCAAAGTTCCACAAAAGTCCATGTGTATATATATTTTGAAATGTATGTAGATATGGTGTACCGTTCAGAATTCTTTATTGATTGTTCAAATTAGACTATGGATGGGGTCGAGGTGGATGGTGATAATACATTTGTCTAACTAGCCAGTGGATTTTATTCATTTTTTGCGGTTAGTTTTTCACATCAGCTAGTTTTTGTAGAGTACATTCACCACAACACAAAACAACCGCATTCTATTCTTTGTATGTTGCAAACTTTTTCTCGTGATGTTACCTGATTGCACTCAAACTATCTGCCCGGCATGGCCAGTTAAGTTGCATCATGCTTTCAAAATAATAGATTCTTCTCTCACTTGCACCCCAAAATGCTTGGATTAAGATATTAGCAACCTATTTTTCTAAAAGGAGGGAATATAATCGTATTTACCTACTTGGTTTCATTTATTTTTGTTGACTATCCATAGTTTATTTATAGAGTAGATTTTTCATTGTTATTATGTTTTTACCTTGTCTATATATTTTACATCTAGCTTATGCTGCATTTAAGCTGGTGTTCGTAACATATGCACTACAAAATTTCAGGTCTCCAACGCTCCCATGCAAGCATGAAAGTAGGACCTTCTCACAAAACAAGGGCACCATGGAAAGAAAAGAACTTGCTCTGTTATTACTATAATGAATTTATTTCCGAAGCAATAAGCTGTGTTGTCACGTCACCGTAAAAAAAAACTTATGTTGCATTATCTCTTGTAGTCCATGGTTTTATACTCCAAAGGCAATGTTGTTTTTCTATTTAGTGCGGTTTGAAATTTCTTGATGCAATGATATTCATTATCTCTTTCAATGTCAGTTTGAAGAAAGAGTTTTATTTTTCTTCAGTAGATGATAGCATGGGTATATGCGTCGGAGCCTTATCGATCAATCATTTTCCAATATGTAGTTTTATTGATCAATTGAACAAAGTATATCCAATAAGAGGCAATTCACCACAAAAGTTTTGTTGGGTCCAATTTTAATCTTTATTAGCTGAAGTGATGTGATACAAAACATAGGATGTGACATCTGATAGGCGGTCAATGGGCACCAGAAATGCCATATGGTTAAGTGGACTGATATCTGTTTTTGTAAGGACCTAGGCAGTCTAGGTATTCTGTCGCCACGCTAGATATTTGGCCCTTATGCTGAGATGGGTGTGGTGGATTCTCAAGGATGAGGAGGGCCTATGCTTGCCGATTATGAAAGCTAAATACCCGTAGGTCCGTCCTCTCCTCGACTATTATCGACGGGAGGGTTCCCAATTCTGGAAATCCCTTCAACTGATCAAACATGATATCCCTCTTAGTATCAATGTCTCCATAGGCAAAAGCGAGGGGGCTGATTCTGGCTGCCCTCATGGCTTAGGGTTCCTTTATGGGCCGAATTCCCTAGCCTTTTTGCGATTTGCTTGGACCTGATGCTTTTGGTTGCCTCGGTCGCCTTCAATGGGGTTTGGAACATCCCGTTCCGATGAACATTTGACCCTAAGGAAACCTTAGCTTAGGCTGATTTGCAAGCTGATAGTGCAATACATTGGGGGTGGCCCATCGGCTAGGAAGCCCGGTGTTGAGTTGGCCTCGGGGCCAGGAGCCCTGATGGCAGCATGGCTCCAGGAGGCACTCCAGGGGCCGGCTTGAAACAAGAAGTTTATCTTGGTGTGCAAGCCGAGAAGCCACCGGCATGAAGTCGATTAGGGACCCTGTAAACCTTACCTCTCGCCCCCTATATAAGGTGAGGCTAGGGGTAGCCATTCCAATCTATTCCATAGACCACATTGTCGACAGTGATATCCATCATCATCTTGTACCCCCCCCCCCCTCGCACGAGGTGCTCCCACATCAATACCAAACAAAGCAGGACATGGGGTTTTGCCTCACCATGAGGGCCTGAGCCTGGGTGAACTCCTTGTGCGAACTCCCTTTTGGTGCTTCTGGCCATGTTCGCCACCCTACCGAGGGTACTGGCGGTTTTTTGTACCGTCAGTTGGCGCGCCAAGAAGGGGATGCGTCGGCCGAACCAACTCTCAATCGTATCTTCCATCATGTCTGGCGACTTCACGCTAGGAGAGAGCTTGACCTTCGGATCCCTTACCTTCATCATGGACAGGGCATACCGGTTTGACATCAACTGGACGCCCTCCCCTGCTCGCACCACCTTCTTCAGGTCACTTGCATTCATCATCGACCTCTACAGTGATCTCCGACTCTGTGTTCCACCGCCTTGTTGGGCCATGGATGAGGCCCCATTGAAGCTCGTCTCACCTACACCATTGGCCTCCTACTTGAAGGAAGACGACCCTGTATCAACAACCCTTGCGGTCGAAGCCTGTATTCTGACCTCGAGATCGGAATGCTGCATCGATTTCCCTAATCAAGGAGGTCTTCTAACTAGGCAAGGTTCTTCTCCTAGAAGGGAGGAATCCCATTAGCGGAGATACATAGAGCAAAGCTCTCTCAAGATCTATTTTATGCCTTTCTTACCCTAGAATGGAGGAGGATTATAGTTTATATAGTTTAGCCACGAAGAGGTAGGTGGGAGGCGAAAACTAAACGTGCCCGCGGCCGCCTTCACTACGAGTAGGAAGATCGGGCATTCTAACTTAAGTCAGACGTTCCGAGGTGTCTACCAATTGGGTGAAATGTCCACTGCAGTCCATAGAGCTTCTACATAGGTCAAACATTTGGTTGGAAATTTGGGCCGGACATTTGGACAGAATGTCCAACATTTCCGCACTTGTCTCTCTGGTCGTCATCTTCTGGTTCCTTCCCTACTTCCATGCTTCCCTCATGCAAGGTGTAGGCATTCTCTTGTTCTTGACCGTCATTTGGCTCAAACCTATAGGTGCAAGGGCTCAGTGGGTCAAGTAGAATACCACCCAAGAAAGGACCAAGAAGACACGCATAAAGGATATAGTTCACCTTAGTATGTGCGATGTGAAGGAAATATGCCCTAGAGGCAATAATAAAGTTATTATTTATTTCCTTATATCATGATAAATGTTTATTATTCATGCTAGAATTGTATTAACCGGAAACATGATACATGTGTGAATACATAGACAAACAGAGTGTCACTAGTATGCCTCTACTTAACTAGCTCGTTAATCGAAGATGGTTATGTTTCCTAACCATGAACAAAAGAGTTGTTATTTGATTAATGAGATCACGTCATTAGAAGAATGATGTGATTGACATGACCCATTCCATTAGCTTAGCACCCGATCGTTTAGTATGTTGCTATTGCTTTCTTCATGACTTATACATGTTCCTATGACTATGAGATTATGCAACTCCCGTTTGCCGGAGGAACACTTTGTGTGCTACCAAACGTCACAATGTAACTGGGTGATTATAAAGGAGCTCTACAGGTGTCTCCAAAGGTACATGTTGGGTTGGCGTATTTCGAGATTAGGATTTTTCACTCCGATTGTCGGAGAGGTATCTCTGGGCCCTCTCGGTAATGCACATCACATAAGCCTTGCAAGCATTGCAACTAATGAGTTAGTTGTGAGATGATGTATTACGGAACAAGTAAAGAGACTTGCCGGTAACGAGATTGAACTAGGTATTAAGATACCGACGATCGAATCTCGGGCAAGTAACATACCGATGACAAAGGGAACACCGTATGTTGTTATGCGGTCTGACCGATAAAGATCTTCGGAGAATATGTGGGAGCCAATATGAGTATCCAGGTTCCGCTATTGGTTATTGACCGGAGACATGTCTCGATCATGTCTACATTGTTCTCGAACCCGTAGGGTCCGCACGCTTAAGGTTTCGATGATAGTTATATTATGAGTTTATAAGTTTTGATGTACTGAAGGAGTTCGGAGTCCCGGATGAGATCAGGGACATGACGAGGAGTCTCGAAATGGCTGAGACGTAAAGATCGATATATTGGACGACTATATTCGGACATCGGAAAGGTTCCGAGTGATTCGGGTATTTTCGGAGGTACCGGGGAGTTACGGGAATACAGGGAAGAAGCAATGGGCCTTAATGGGCCTTAGTAGGAAGGACCAGGAGGTGGCGCGCGCCCCTCCCAAGCCCAGTCCGAATTGGACAAGGGGTTTGGGGCGCGGCCCCTCTCTCCCTTCCTTCCCCTCTTCCCTCCTTTCCCCCCTTCTCCTAGTTGGACTAGGAAAGGAGGAAACGTACTCCAACTAGGAGTAGGAATCCTACTCCCCTGGCGTGCCTCTCCTAGGGC